GCAGGAAGGAATTAATCAGGGACATGTTTAAAAACAAATAAACAAGGATGGAACTGAGAGTCTGCTGAAGTTAACAAAAGTGACGACCAGTGGCAACAGCATTTCATTCTACAGTCAGAAAACCTTCAGCCTATGTTACTGTCAATACCTATTTACCCTGTTAAAAAACAGAAGCATTTATAAAAACTAATTGACGTTACTCTGCTTATCTTTTGCACTCAATAATAGACACCTATCCTGAACATATTTTAACCACTCCAACAGATCCCAAAGTGCCTTACAAGTCTGTACAGACTCAGAGAGCTCTACAATGCAGATGAGAGGACCCACACAACATCTTATGTGTTTCTCAAGCCCCAGGCTTGCCTGCTGATGTAAAACCCACAGACTGCACTGAGGCTTGGGCAGCATCATGCAGAAAAAGTTGAAGATGGCTTTCTTTTCCCCTGAAATCAAGAATGGTACCATGCTAGAAGTGGTCATGACATCAAGCTTCATCTCTACCTGCAAAACCACTAAGAAATACTTAGTGACTGCTTGTGATCACGATCTTTCACTTACAATCTCAGCTCAGCCAGAGCAATGAAATTCGTTAGTTCCATCTTTGTCTTAGAGTAATTACATTAGTTTCTTCTTTAGAAAAAAAGAAAGAGTCAAGCTCTAACCCTGGGAAAGCACAAGGGAATATTTAGTACCCGAACAACAACAGTGGCAAGCCTCCCTTGCTGATGTTATAATTACAGAAGTGAATTAGAGGTATTCTACTTCTAAATATTCACATATATGAAGCTAGATACAGATTCTGGGACGATGTAAAGGATCACCCAAAATCTTTATAAAATACTAAGTCATAGGAGTTGGGAGCTTCAGACCAGCAGACTTTTAAAACATCTTAATAACAGAAGTATAAATAGCCTCTGTTCATACAGACTGATCCTTTCAGATTGATAGCACCCAGGATCCCCACAGGACTGCGCCACGAATCGCGCTTCTAGAGCTCCAAAACGTCCTGCCTATGCTAAGCCAACTGTCTCCTTAAGTGCCATACTGGATCATGAAATAAGAAACACTGTAGAATCATAGAATGCTTTGAGATGGAAGGGACCTTTAAAGGTCATCTAGTCCAACCCCCCTGCAACTGGCAGGGAATAGAAAGTTGGTAGGAGGCAATAACTGACAGGAAGGAGAAAAGTAAATCTGTCTCTAATCTCTCTGAACTCGAGCAGAAAGCCTGGCCACACTACTTGCACAGGAAGTATATGCCTTTCTCACTTTTGAGCTTTCATCTTGTAAAACACACCATACGCTTAAATCAGACCATTCCCTTCTGGAGAGAAAAATGGAGGCAAAAAGACGGAAAAAGATTTACCTTTCAGGAGGAACGCTGTCAGTGTTGCTGCTATGCCGTCTCTGCATTTTCCTCAAAACCTTAAAACACAACACGCTCAACATTAACGTTGCAGGTCAACAAGTCGCGGTGTGACTACTAACAAAGGCCCACAGAGTTGGAGGGCTGTGAAACCCATTCAGCTAGTGACATGGCTGGCATAAATCATTTGCTTCTCTGAAAGAGCGCCTCAAGCCTGCATTTGTTTCTTAGCACGCTTGCGAAGAACCAACTTTCAACTGGCAAATGGAAGCACACATACACAGGTCTCCAAGCAGGGCAGGAACTAGTCAGATCGCCTTTTGCAGTATGTGGCAGTCACAAGGGGTATACAGCCGTGCGATGACATGTTCTGATAAAGAACTTGAGGACAACTAACAAAGTAGCTCTCAATGTGACACGTGAATCGACATACACTCTCTGGAAATGAAATCCCTTCTTCCTCTTCTGAAGAAACTTGCTCTGTAAAGCAAAACTGAGAGGGAGGAAAAAAAAGAAAATGTATAAGCATTTTTAATGAAAAAATACAATCAGGTCATGACAGTAGTCTTTTAAATAAGCAACCCATTCCTTTTAAACCACAAAAATGCCATTAGCAAACTCTGCACAATGGTCATAAATAATATGCACATATGCAAAAGATCACATGTTCCTGCTCCACTCATTCTGGAATTGTCAGCATAAATAAAAGAAGGTCTGGAGTGGGAAATGAAAAGGCATTGAAATTGTATTAACTTCAGGAACTTTTTCTAGAACAAGGAGATAAGTTCTTTATTTACTTATTTAAATCTCTGCTTTCAAGTGTCTAATTTTACGGGAACAACCTCAAACACATTACACTTTTTTAAAATAAAGTTAATTCAAAAGCAAAGAAGAACACAGAATCATCATCACCAAGGCACAGTAGAGTACCTGGCAAATAGTATTACACTGTTTCATGTCATATTAGTTATATAAAACCTGAGGAATGGGCTATTTTTGCAAGTGATTTGTCTAGGTTCCCACAGGCATTTCATAGAAGATTTAGAGACATCCTTTAAATATTGAAGTCTGATCCTACTCAGCCCTAGACTACAATAGCTACTGAATAAAATGTAAAACGCTCTAAATACTTTTGCATATCAAAATTTATAACATTATTTATAACATTTCATACTGCATGAACATATGTAAATAAATGTGTAGCCCTATATCTGTATTCTGTAAAGGCACAATGGCTCTGAGAACATTTTCTAGCTGTCCATAAGCAGAGGTATGGAAGCTGCGAAGTAGAAAATACGGAATATTTTTTTTTCCCCAATATTTTCATCTTTTCATTCATATTCTTTACTTTCAGTGACCCACGAGCACATGCAAAATTGCATTAAATTAGAATTTTATCCCTTAATAAAGCCCAAATCATGCAGTTCACAGTGCATAAACAGACAGCTGTGTTTACCATGTACACCTGCATTACAAGTACATGTAGTTTGCCCAGCCCTGAAGATAAGCTACAAAACAGTGAAAGAAGAAAGGGTATTTCAATTAAATCACACAGGTAACTACTGAACTTGTAACAAGACGAGAAAAAAAAATGTTAACATTTACAAAAAAGAGAAAGACTCTTGGTTTGTAATCCCAGTCTTGAAGAACCCCATCAAGTGGGCTGAACTGAGACAACACTGGATTTGAGTCATCACTGACAGAGAACATGGAGGTTTTAATATGAGATGCCAACTTTGGACATTCCCTTCACAGTTAATATAGATATGCACATATCTATGTAAATAAAATTTGGCATAATCATATATGGCAGGAAAAACATAGCTTTTAACACATTTTATGGAAAGGGCGCAGGAAGCCATCACGAGTACCAGAAATCTAATTCTAACCAAAGTTTTTTGATACCCTAAGTTACCAACGCTCTCTTAACTACAAATTTTGGTCTTGTAACTCCCAGCAGTTTTTTAATCTCTAGCTATATGTTTCAATTTATGTTGTGTTTTCAGGGCCAAAATTCGTCTTATAAGGATCTGTAAGTTTTATACAGTAAAAAATACATATTAAAGTTTTTTTTTTCCCAGATTTTTTAAAGCTGCATTTGTAGTAACAACATTTAGTACTCCAGGAATCTTTTATGCTTTCTCTGCAGTAAATGTTATTTAATCCTAACCTGACAGTATCTCTGTCGACTTAATATATACTTTCATCCTCTGTTTAACCGAAACAGCAATTAAGATATGATGAAAAGGCCAAGACAGGCTGACCCACGCAGGCAGAGCTGTCCTACCTGTGAACAACTTCGGGCTCATTGCTTATAAAGAAATCTGTCCATCTTCCCATGCTGAGAGCTAGAGTCAGTGTAGAGACAAGCCTGAAACTTGGAAAATCCTTCACTCTCTTTTAGAAGTCTACTAGAGTGTAATGTGGGGTGAAATCACATTCCAAAATGACATGCAGCTCTATGGGGAGACAGTTTTTCTTTTGGCATCAGCCGCGAAGGGGACAGTGACATGAATGCTAAGTACTGAAGATGCAGGATTTCGTGAAATATAATTATCTGTTCTGCCCAGAGTCCTACAGATTTAAGATCAGATAGAATTTAAATGGACTTTGTTCCAAAAGGCGCTCAGCTTCAATATTGATTGGTCCTGCCTTTTCTGGATTAGGGGCTTTCATCTTGCAACACTTGGACATTTTTTAACAGTACCTGAACAACAGGTTTAACCAGAGGCCAGGTGCTGCGGTGGGAGAGAGGGAAGCTCAAGAGGGTGCAGACATCTCATACATGGAGTCCTTCAGATAATCCAAGATGGTCCAAATTTCAAAATCATCATAGGTCCTTCCAGCTGGATGATTGTAAGGCACCTGGATCACAGTGCTCAAACAGGCGCATCTGTAAGAAGCACATGCATAGAGTCATTTTCACCATAGCACAGTGAGTTTCACCTCTCCATCTCCTTGGAAGAGACAGAGAGGAGCAGGAACCCTTGCTGCTTCAACCCCTGCATGCGTGCAGGATCCAGCACAGCCGTTTTCCTCTGGGATTGGCACGTGCAGCCCTGCTGGGCTGTACTCTGCCTTTGTGGTGTATACACACACGCGCGTGCGTGTAATAAATAAATCTATACATAAATGTATTTATATATACACGCACATATAAACAGATCTATATCTATAAATGCAGTTATATACATACACACATATATATGTATACACACAGACACAGGTGAGGCCTTTTTTTTCCAGTTAGGTCGGGGAAGGAGATTCCCGCTGGAGTATGTGGCCAAACGCCCCAGCGGGGCGGGAGCCAGCCGGGTCTAGGGAGCAGCAAGCCCGG